TCATTTCAGGAATGAAGTGGCTTGGAAGTGATAAAGGTTTGTGCAAAATTGCCACTCCTATAGATTGCAAGGTTTACTACCTGGTCCAATCATATGCGTGAGGAACTTTATTAATCATTTTCATTCAAGCTGTCAAAAATTTTCTTGTGCCAGATAAGATTAGTTAATTGACAAGCTACAACTTAAATAATCCTAGAGCTTAGATCATGAACAGATCACACCTAATATAATTTAGATTTGAAAATTGTATGGTTAGCAATAGCACTTTGTTAATAGCTCATATATTTAATGTTGCTTTTCACAAACAAAATCAAATTAGTAGTTTTTATGAATCTGGTGCTACATGGTGGTTAGCGTGCATATTACCTTCGATGCAGACTGAGTTAGAGCAGCAATCTTTAAACATTATAATGACCCAATTGTTTTGCAGTGTTTTCTTGCTTGATATTTGTTTTCTTGTACGTACAGATTAACCTTGAGTTCAATGATGACATGAGCTTGAAGAAGCTTCTGAAAGCCAAAAGGAAGGAGAACAAAAAGGTTGGTATTGCTGCTGGACACAGATGGCAGGCATTTGAGGTAGAGATGGAAAGACTTTATAGGGCCAAAGTCAGGCTAGATAATATGAAGCATACGTTATTAAAACTTAAGAATCAGAAAGCCAGGAACTTGAATAAATCTCAGTTACTTGAAGAGTCTGTGATTTATGTTCCTGTAGCAGAGTTGAAAGAAAAAGCTTGATGCTACTAAATGTAATTACCTTTTTGTCAACAGTTTTTGTGTATGATAGTTTCATGCTTTACAAACTTTGTTTCAGCTGAACCTCATCCAAATAACAGTGATAAAGTAGTCCTTCAGTTTAGTGGCTTTTTTTTTTTTTTGAAAATTTTTCATTCGGTTTTGTTTGTGGATTCATCATACATCCTTGAGCTTAGATGATAAAATTAGTTGTCATATAATGCAAACCTGGGATAGATAGACAATGGTGACTGAGAGGGCAGAACCTGATCAAAACCATTTGTGGGTTGGGTGGTTTTTGGTTGTCTACATATTTAGGTTGTCAGACATGTTTCACTCTTGCACTCCAAATTATAAAAAGTTCCAAAATGAGAAAAAAAAAAAAAGCGATTTTACATGGAATCAAATACTTCTGTTTGGAAACGAATTTGCTTTCTGCAGTTTCTTCCTTTTCAGAGCCACCATTTTCAGCATAAGAAAAACTAGGTTGAATTACTAGTATGAAAAGGTGGAAATATATCAATTATAGCATGTCAGATCAAATGATTCTCCAATCTTGACTTTTCCGGGAAAAACACCCTTCTGATATTAGAATATAAGGGCAAACTCCTGTTTGTCCCCTGAAAATGAGAATGAAATTAACCAAATAAATCATGTTAAAATCAAATTGGACCTGAAGGTCATTCTGTCCACAAAATATGCTACATTCTGCTATGAAGTTATATCTGCAGCAAGAAATAAAATATCAAATCGGAGGTGGATCTTGCAATGAAACTTCTATCTGATCCAAACATGTCCAAGGCACAAATGCCTGCAGCTCATATATTGCATATTGATTCCCCTCACTACAATTATAATGGATGTTCACTCTGATGGAGGTATATCTCGAAAATTTTTATCTTTGGATTTTAAAAACTGAATATACAAGAATATATTTGACGGTATATTCCAGTTGCCAAAATTGCCAAGCGGTGAACTCTATTTTTTTGTCACAACTCGGGTAGTGTCTCCTGAACCATCACTCCTGGTCTGATGAAGTCTGCGCCGTTTAGCAACTATCCGATGCCTCAGCTACACAGGACATGAAACTTGTTAATCTCCAAAAGATAACCAATATCATAGAACTTTGATAACAAGAGACGTACAACTCCAACAAGCCATCATAGAGAAAATGGAAATTTTATATAGGGGCAGAAATGATGAATCTTAAATCTGGGAAGAAAACTAGAACTTGAACCACACAACGTTACATAAGTTGGTACCAAACCACATGATAATACGTAAGTTGCACACACAGCAGAAATGGACTGCATACAAGCTCGCTCTTGCATCCTAATATGTTCGAGGAAGAGGCATGATTATACCCAAAGGGCACTGGCAAGTACAACATGAACTATTACTCTTAACCATTTGGTGAAGAGATAATAAAAGTAGGTAATTACAAATGGCTATATGAATAAACTGAAGGAAACAAAAGGAAATCAATAAACCTAGGAACTGCATAGTAATGTGCTTGTGGAAAACCCCAATCTACTAATAATAATCTAAAGATGGGACCGAAGAAAACAAAACCTATACTCAATCTTTGATGCAAAAAAACCACAAACCAGATGAAAGCACAAAACTAACCTTCTTAATATACTCAACCTGCTTCAACACTTTATCAGTTTCCAGCTCCTGAGGAAATGCATAGAATTAGAAATTTGCTAAGAAATGATCAAGAAACAAGCAGAATGTAAATTCCCACAATAAAATGTCTGAAGGAGGACTAAAAAATAAAGTACAGTACTTTATTTCGAGCTTGTTCAAATAAACAAGAAAAAGGAGATGTCTGAAGGAGGCCTTGGAGAACTGTCTTAATTAAATGAATACAGTACTCTATTTCGAGCTTTTTCAAATAAACAAGAAAAAAGTGATGAAGGAGGCCTTGGAGAAATGTCCTAACTAAATGAAGTACAGTATTCCCTTTCAAGCTTTTTCAGATAAACAAGAAAAAAATGATGGCAGCCATTTACATAACTCTCACAGGTAAAAAAATTACCTTTGTGCTTCATATCTTAACTTGGCCTCACTATGCACATACCAGAAATCATTTTTTTAATGTATAATAGAAACAAGATCTCATTTGAATGAATCATTAACCAGACCAATAACATAATCCTACTCAATTTTCAGATAGATCAATTAAAGTACCAAAACAATTGATCGGGGTAATGATTAAATATTTGCCACTTAGATGACCCCTTCCCAAATCCCAGGTTCGAAAATATTCACTACTTCTACTAGAGCAACCACTTAGTATAACCTTCCTTCCAAGTATCTTTATAGCAATACATAATCAAGAAACAAAAATTATATAAATAAAGGAGTTCCAAAATTGGAGAAAGTTACCACCTGAGGAACAGCACAATCAGCATGTGATGGATCCCAGAGGACAGAGCAGAAGCACTCCCAGTCATCAGTTTGGACTTCAAAAAGAGGAGCCCTGGGTATATAAAAATATTGATTAAATAAAGACTACACACTAAGCATTTTTTTAACTTTATATTTATTACCATTCTTATAAAAATATCATAACTATGTATGTTTAGGTGTTCCATTAACAAAATAACGTAATGTTAAATGATTGTCAGGTTAACAATTATCTTAAATTTTTAATTCATAGAGAAGATGATAACTTTAATATTTACATACTAATGCTCACATGCATAAGTCTACTGGGCTAAACGCATGAAAAAAACACAAACAGATTACAAACTAAAGGAGGATAAAATAAAAATGAAATAAGAACTGCATCATACAAGATAGCAATCAAATCCTTGTGTGGCATGGATAAAAGAATTCTCCAGAAAGAAACCAGACTTAAGCCCAAAGAGAAACAGAAAACTGGTCCTCTCCAAAATAACCATCAAACAAATGAGACCTTTGCTTAAAATTTCTCGCATTTCTCTCCAATCAAAGCCACATAAAAAGGTTAAATCAAGAGGACACACCCAAGAAGCATGAAAAGAAAATAATCTTGTCCAAATCCTCCAGACATTCACGCAGTGATTGCACACTGAAGTGTGGAAGCACAAAAAACAAACATCAAAAGAAAGCACTCTTTGAGATCTATGATTCTAAAGGTAAGTCATCGTATTTACCCTATTTAGAACCACCATCCACAAGAAGCTCTCACCTTATAAAGACCTTTCCAGAAAGGGGGGAGAAAAGTCTAAATTGTATTTGGTAGGGTTGGAGTATGGGTAAGAAACTCAAATGATTTGCAAGTATAGCACCCAAAAAATAATGGACCTTTTTGTTTTTTTTTAAAAAAAAGTATAATGCGTATTCATTAATTACAGGCACTAAGGGGGTTCCTCTATAGATTACATCAAT